CCTTTACACTACATTTTTTTTAAACACTGATTCTTTCTTAAGATACTTGTTTCTAATAAATGCTTAAATATAATGCAAATTATTTAACTTATTACGTAAAGTTTTAGTAGAAAGTTTTATAACGGCTTTTATTACTTATTTCATTGGATATTTATTAGCCAACTCCTTGTAGACATTTATGGAATATAATGATGTAAAGTAGAGCAAAACAATTTTATTACTCTGATAATATTTTACAACTGATATTAATTCAGGTTTAGAGAAATGAGGTAGACATTTTTGATAGTAAAAGCTGTTGATGTTTAATAAAAACTTACGTTCGACGCAAATTTATCACAGTATTAGTCAAATAACTAAATTTATAAAATACAAATCGATTTTAAAGTACTTTAGCACATACAACACTAGTGTTACAATTTCAACCCCACGAGATCCGTGCTAACCTTTTTACGCGCAAAACGAGACTCCTTACTAGTGAGGAGAAAGCTACGAAAAAACGATATATGTAAATGGTATCGAATAAATTCGAATAACAATTTTTGAATCGCGGTCCCATAAAAGGCGGGCGATGCCGTGTGCACGAGGTAAGTGATTGCTTTTTAAATTGGCCTCTTGCGCTGCTGATTGCCGAATGGGACTACTGGAATATTTTTATTTATTACCTAGTGATGAGACTATAATTACTAAGTGACTATCGGTATCGATATTTTTGGAATAATTTCGTTCGTTTAGTTCATTATTTTGTTAGTTATATTATATGTAACAACATCATAATGAAACGTATCATATAAAAATTGATTTGAAATTTTGGAGTCTATTTGTAACTTGAGTAATCAGTGTATAGGTACGTTTATCGGTAATATATCTGCATACTTGTTATGAAAATCATCAGTTCATCATCGATGTTTACTACTGATACATAATATTACAAATAATAGCAGTGAAGATTCAGTGTATTAAACATTTTATCGATAACTCTAAACTATGATTGGTCATCACTATTAGATTGATGTATGCGGATAAAATCGATTATCCTCGGCAGATTTGGAAACTGTTTTTGTTGAATAGAATAATTACGAACATTAACTGGCAGTTCTAAGATTGTATTAATCAGTTAACTAGTAACGGGACAATGCGATTAATTGGGTCAGAGTCGATTTTTAGGAATTTTTATTGCAATTTATGGATTATCGTTCATTAATTGTTAGTGATTTTTGTGTGACGTTTGTGAAATTTATTAATTTAATTTTAAGGGTTATAATTTATGCTAATAATTGTTACAAAATAAATACGGCAATGTAAATAAGTATACATAAAAGTGAAATAAGGGTATCAGATCAATGACACTAAATCTGAACAACAAATGGCATTGCCTCAGCCAAAGTGCAACGCACTGACCACGTGTCTTATAAGACTTTGAGGCACTCTATAGCCCAAAATCTATTTGACGTACGCACTTGTAAATTTATTAATCCGTTCAATCTAATCCCCCTCAATTGCTCAAATTTTATAGTCAACAGGTCGTATAATTATTGTCGAATATCTGACTTTGAATACAATTTTTACGCCACTTATATTGTGAAGTAAATAGTAGTTACTTAAAAACAACTTTTTTAAAACTTCTTAAATAACCTTTTAATCTTTTTTTAGTAATGCAACTTTTTTGGCAAATATTAGTAATAATTTGAGTCAGAGTAAGAAATTGAAATTTTATTCAAACGAAATCGTAAATATTCGTGTCATAGTAAGTAGACGAAGTTTTATTTAAACGTAATCGTAAAAATTCGAACACAGAAGTCGATTATAATCGCGAAAAGGTTTCGCTCGCGGCGCGTGCCCGGTCGCTACTGCCGCAAGGCGGGCGATCCGCCCTCGGCCTCAGGCGTACCCTTTCATGGGGTACGCCTGGAGGGGGTTTGCGCCTTTTAATTTCGAGTTATTAGTGAAACAGATTCATAGTTTATCGAGTACTATAATAGGCTATATTGAGTCGAAGTTTCACATTTACAATAATTCGTAACCTTCGTATAGTAAAATACGTCAAAAGTGCTTTTATCACATAAAGCCGGATTTCTGACGAGACGTGTTGTAACGCATCACAACGGTATTGGTTACCTACTACAGTGGTAGTGCCCCTCAGATCTTTGCAATTTAAAGCTCTGAGTGGCACTGTAACTGTTTTGGACTGGCGAGTAGCTTACCATCAGGCGCACGACTTGTTCGTCCCGTCACTTGATGTTATAAAAAAAGTTTTAGTCGCAATCTGACGTGAGCGCTTGTGCTGTTTGTATGAAACCGATACCGTTCTGACGCGTCACGAACCGACAGGCCAGACAAATGTAAATCCGCCTTAATTCATAAAACTGACATGAAACAAAGTACGAATATGTTAATTTTATAAATCTCCCAAAAAAAGATGTCATGTTACATTTGCCATATTACACCAAGGCTGTGAATAAGCATTGTTTGATTCTTTTACAAAGTTTAGATATGGCTGAAACTGATGAAATTATAGGCACATGGGACTTGTCAACTTTGATACGCCTCCAGGTGGCGGGCGCAGTGGCAGTGCCCCTCAAACTGTGATTTCAAGCAATGAGTAGCACTGAAACTACTATGGACAGGTATCGCTTGCCATCAGGCGTATGACTTGTCCGTCCTGTGTCAATAATAAAAAAAAGACCTCAAAAATTCGTGATATTACATCTATTTGCCAAGTTTTATTAAAATAAGTTACCGGAACGTGCGCGAAACCGGTTTCATTCCCTAGTTTGCCACTGAATATTTTCTTCAAATTTAAATGGGACCAATATTGGGTACCTTCTTTCCAACAAAAAAGAATCATCAAAATCGGTTTACTAATGCCGGAGTTATCGCGTAACATACATACAAAAAACAGTCAAATAGAGAACCCCTCCTTTTTTAAAATCGGTTAAAAAAGACAGAAACTTTATACTTTAGCGCCACAAAGCGGAAACCAAATTAACATAAGCCTTTTTTTGCCTGATCTTGAGTGTCTGGTAATCGATGAAGCTGCAGGTCATCTACCGATAGAAATCGGCAGTATTTTTTCAACTCGAGTTTGTTACGAGTTACATTTGAGTGCAAACAGTACCACGCCGCCCCACCCCTGTTCACGCTGTAATTAGTAGGTATTCGCCGCGCGCGCCGATTGGTGATCATCGCACTATGAAACCTCTTTATGCGCAGTCGCCATTGTAGTTACACTTTTTTAACGCTTGGCTGACTGAAATTACCGTTGCTATATGCTTAGAATCATTTATTTTATACTCTATGTCGGTATTGCTTTTGAAGTTGATGAGTGTACGTTACTCTGATATGGCTTAAAATGGAAACAACGCTACCATGTAGACAGTAGCGACTTGATCTAAGTTACAGAATATATAATGGTAGTTCTATTATGAGCTTGCCTCATGGTTTCCAGTATCTAAAGTAGGTAACATCCTAAAATGTTGGTAGCGTGTTTTCATGTAGAAATAAATATATCCTCAATAAGGTAACCCATCACAAATTCGAATTTTTTTTCAGAAATAACTTTTGTTCGAATTTTCATTGCACCGAAAACCGAATTATAACGACACCGTTGTTCTTTCAGGGCATGTTGGATGTTTATCGCAAAGACACGATTAGGTTCAGTTAGGTTTAAAACAAAAAAAAACATTTTCCTCTCAAAATTACTTTCGAGGTTATGAAAATTCGAGAAAACGTTATTTCTTTAAAATGTCATCTCCGACGACTGTTATGTACTCGTAACCTCTCAATAAATAGGGAGGTAGATATTACATTGTTCATCATCAATCCATTTACACGTCTTTCGACGCGCAGGATTCTTCAGGACTATAATTTCCTTCACCGAAAAGCTTATAGTAAATTTCGAATTAAATTTCGCACATAAATACCAAGAAACTCAGAGGTGCGTGCTCGAATTCGAACCCACGGCCTTTGATTGAAAGGTGGTGTCAAACCAGGCTACCATGACTTACAAAGATACTACATTATACATATGTGTTACTGTAGGCAAATGTCAATATCCTGCCAACAGCCTGGGGATCAATTCTCGTACCCTAGCGAGATCGAAACATCTTTATTTGTTCATTCTATTTTTATTGTTTGTATTACAAACATAATCAATGAAGAATTTTGATTTTATTGTATTTAAATCAATAGCTGTCAAATCTATTTTGATTAAACTAAATGAATGTAACGAAACGTCAAAAATCATTGTGGAAAAGATACTAATATATGAAGAGGCTGTTTGGTGGAACCTTTGCCGGCCCAAATAAATGGGTGAAATATTTTTTCTCGTTTTTTTTTTCGTTTTTGCAATGCATCCGATTCATATTCGTTCCGAATCTGAGACTATACACTAGTTTGTTTTTTGGTACAAAGAATAAATAATAAATAGGTGAAAACTTTAAAAATCAAATTAATGGACACATTTTAGTCTCTATTGCCTATGGCAACTCGTTGGGGGTCGACTTATGTCATTCATGTGGGTTTAATGGTCGTATTCCAGAGCTCTACTCGAGTATGATTTAAAGAACTAGAAATCATACTCAAGTCTTTGCCATTAGGGTCATATTTCCAGTGCTTGAAATCATACTCAGGTCTTGACTTGAGCATTGAGTAGAGTTATGGAATACGACTCTAAGACCAAGATTTTTTTTTCATTAAGCAGAAATGGTGAGAAATTTTGTCGTATTTACAAAAAGAGCTTTGCTTAAATCTAAGCAAGAAATAATGAAGCAAAATTTGCATAATCTGCATCGTCGATTTGTCATTTTTTGCCAATTTGAAGTAAAGTTTAGCAAATTTGAACTATTAAAATACTTATTAAAAAATTGCGATACTTTCACGCCCAAAAAAGCTTCTAAAGCTAGTTTTCATCCTTCTTCTATAAAAAAATATTTTAACATCCGCCATGTTTTTTCGTGACTTTTTTCTACTATAAGATTTTCTTTGTCGCACGAAAAATGCACCCCCTGTTGCTCGAGTGCCGTGATGCTAGGGTTGTTAGGGTCGCAGCGGGACATCGCCTCAGGCTCTATTATACGCATGCATACGCTACCACTCATCGCCTCAGGGCAGACAGATTGTCGCTGATGGGTGTTTCTGCTTACATTTACTTTGACTTACTAAAGAAAGTTGAATAGAATGATGAGTTATGTGGTTAGTAATAATAATAATAACGTACACACTCAACATAGCCCCGCACTAGGGAAACCCTGTGTCGCGGGTGCCATGGACACACACATAGACAACCACAAATTACATATAAACTTACGAGAGAAATAAATGTAGGCCATACAAATATTTTCTCCCGCTCCGGGAATCGAACCTGGGACCTCTGCGTGACAGTGGCATGTAACCGTTCGGCCACCGAGGCAGTTTAGTTTAACACGTCACGTCACAAAAGGTTCACAGCCCTTAGACATTGTGCGAAGTCCCCAACCCTCCATGGACCAGCGTGGAGGACTGTCCAGTGTCTAAACCCACTTCTTAGAAGAGATCGGTACCCTGCACGCAGTGTAAAGTGAATTCACAGTTAACACTTAATTTCTAATTCTAAGAGTCTGAATGTAACGGTTCTTACATTTCAATCTAAGTTTCTGGCTAACTTTAAAGTTAGGCGGTGACAGGTTGATAACCTCGTCTGTGAAAATGTAGACGTCAAGGATTAACTTTAAATAATTGTTTACATAGTTCGACTCAAATATACTTTTTCTTTTAAGAATAGTAGGCAAACGGGCAAAAAAAAAAGGTGAGTCACTTGATGGTAGGTAGTGCGACGTCAGAGGAACTGTCTATCTTTTGCCAGTCTTTACCCTGTTGACTCGATTTTTAAAAATCCCATGTCATAGTGCAAAGGAAATACTACAGGAAGGAGACCATTCCACGAGGAAGGAACTGCGCGGTCTTAGAATGCTAGGCATCAAGGATATTGAGATGGGCTCTACTCCTTTCGCGGGAGGTGTATTGGTGGATACATGAACATTTTACAGCATTACGATGACGACGGTAAACGTCCGAGGGGTCGCAGTCCCACAGGATGGTCCGACCAAATTTGTGCGGCTCTCGCTATGGGTCTCCATGATGAGTTCCAGTATGCCAGAGACCGCCACAGACGGCACAGCGTTGTCATACAGAACTTGTTTCCGCGGAATAGTCACGGTACTCAGTAAAGAGGTATACGACGCTAGAAGGAGCAACTTCCAGGAATACCAGAGTATCATAACCAGAGCCAATTTATAAACGATTGTTTCCTAATTTGGTTCTACTGGAAATCGAACACGATATTCCTCTCCTCACGTAGGTAATGCCCAGAAGTGTGCTAATCGCTTACTCGCTTACAAGATCTCAAGGTTGTCTACTTATGCTATACGAGACAACTATTTCCCAGTTAAGTAATTTTGTTTCTATACTTATTTTGAGATTTAGAGATTGTAAAATTTAATTCTGAATGGTATTAATGAACGAAACGTCTTTGACCCAATAAAACAAGTCATCGATGTACACGAACTAATCCGTGACACAAGTCGTGTTCCTAATATGTTTTGATTTTATGTTTTTCTTGTTCTTTTTAAGCCCCTTCTCTCCACCATTAGGCTACCACGGCTTCATTAAAGACGTTATTGGTAGATAATTTTATTTTATACGAGTAAACTTTTTGTTAAGTCAATCACGAACTCCAATGCATTAGCCAATTAACTATTGCATATAACGCATGTGTTGAATAATAAAGAAAAATTCAAGCTATTGTAACAGAAGTAGTTTGAATTTTTGAATAAAGATCGTGCTCCGATTGGCCCGATCGCCTCCGGCGACTGGCGGGGTGCCGAATGTTGCCAGCATCTCATCCGGAAATACGAATTCTATTTGTTTAATGAAGTTCGAAATTTAATTTTGATTTGTTTTTGAATTTATAAAAGGAATTTGCAGGAGCGTAGACTCAAAAATATTACCAACATCATTTTTACTTTTTTTTTTGGCACAGTAATTAAATAAATTAGTTTAGAATATTGAAATCATAGATATATAAACTTTATCGATTTTTGACATCAATCTTCATGCTGTAAGCAGAATAACTTTAATTCCTTAAAATTCTGTGGCATAACGACATCTCAAACACAGTAAGTATTTAAGGTTATATCCAGAAGATGGACAGCAACACCGTATTGTGCATTAACTTTAAATTTTGGTAGCAATAGAGCTCCTTGAGTTCGTCCTGGATAATACTACCTTACCTATATCTGCTACTAAGCAGTAGAAATAAAATAAAAATAAAATAAATAAAAATGTGAGCATTACTGCGTTCCGGTTTCGAAAAGTGCTGGTGAAATTACAAGCACATAGGACATGTCAACTTTATGTCGCAAGTGAAGGGCGCACTCTTACAATTTTTGCGAGTTAAGGCTCTGAGTGGCAGAGTGGCACTGCAACTGCTATGGGTAAGCTTCTCGTTTATCACCAGGCGCATGACTTATTTGTCTTATCACTAGGTATCATAAAAAAACTAATACTTTTGCGTTAACTTACTTATGTTAAGGTTATACAGCTTCCATCAACTTTTTAAATTACTTAAAAAATGCCTCCTTGTTGTATATACATTACCATATTTAAAGGAACGCTAAAATGAGGTTATGATAACAACGGTTATATGAATATGAACATATGTCACTGGCCACATATACCAGAACGTAATTGAAATCTAAAGACGATTGTAGTGATTCTTTTTTCAAAATAAAGTTTCTGACTTACACGTTCCACTAATTATGTCCATGAGCGTAGTTAACCTTGATTCGTGACGCTAATTAACCACACAGCATGAAATAAATGATAAAATAAATGTAGAGATCTTTAAGATATTATATTAAGTCCACTTCCCTTTGCGGATATAGCTGTAACACAGAAATGGAAAACAACAAAGAACTTTCTATTCTATTTCTATTCGTGACACAGTAGAAACATATCCCGATTTTTCGTAACTCGAAATATTTAAATACAACAGATTCTGATTCGTGACATTTTTTTAAAATCTGACTTATTCGTAGTATGAGCAAAATTTTTATGATTAGTCCAGGCTAATATATAATAATAACACCAGTAAAATCATTGAATTGATATTCAATTATTTTTTTGTGAAATTACTCCACTAGTTTGTTAAAATTATCTATGAGAAATCTATGACGGTATTTCGTCACCCAGTTAGGTAACTTTACAGCTACCAGCCCTGGCTAGAGATGTCGCTATTAATGGTAATTAAATTTGTATTGAATTGATATTCAATTATTTTTTTTGGAAATTACTCCGCTAGTTCGTTACAATTTAATTACCTCCGTGGTTGAACGGTTACCATGCCGGACTGCCACGCAGAGGTCCCAGGTTCGATTCCCGGGCCGGGAGAAATATTTGTATGGTCTACATTTATTTCTACCATGAGTTTGGGTGCTATGTGTGGTTGTCTATGTGTGTGTCCATGGCACCCGCGACACAGGGTTTTCCCTAGTGCGGGGCTATATTGAGTGTGTGCGTTATTATTATTAGTATAATTATTAATACAAAGATCGAACACTTAGAAAAAAATCCTTCGATCCGGCCGGATTCGAACCGACGTCTTCTAGCAAACCGTGCCAGACGCTATGCCAACTAAGCCACGGAACGAACTAGCGGACCTCACAAATTTTTCTATGTATGGTTTTAACTACTTTTTAGCTGTAGCTCCATCCGTGAGAAATCTATGAAGGTATTTCGTCACCCAGTTAAGTAACTTTACAGATACTAGCACTAGCTAGAGATGTCGCTATAAATGGTAATTAAATTTGTATTGATGATACTCCACTAGTTTGTCATAATTATTAATACAAAGATCGAACACTTAGAAAAAATTCCTTCGATCCGGCCGGATTCGAACTGATGTCTTCTAGCAAACCGTACCAGACGCTATGCCAACTAAGCAATTATTAATACAAATAGACTATTAAACATTGAAATGGTGTTATGACTTTCTATTTATTACCAAACGTTTACACTTTTACTACTAACTTTACAAACATTTTATGCTCATGTCGTATGAAAGAATACAAAAACTTGCAAGCGCACAGTAGCAAATTTTTTTATTAACATTTACGCAGCCATACAAAGCTCCGGGTATGTGTTAATTGAGCCATTGTATGGTAAAAAATATTGATATTTTTGTTTGGAGAGTTTTATGGATAGTTTGTTGGATGAGATGAAAGTGGGAAAATCCAGTACAACAGCTTTTTCGTTTTTTAAATTTATATAATGAGGTTTCTTCTTATCGTTTTGGCAGCATATACTGTACTGTTGTGGCCATATATCTATAAATAATAGTTTTGTGGTAGAGTTTTTTTAATAAAAGGTAAAAAAGATAAGTCCAATAAGTGGTGGCCATTTTGGATCTCAATGTTTATTAATAATGTTTACTTTATATTACTGTCTTAAGAAAACGAGTCCAAATAAATCTCTTCAATAGATACCTTCAAATACCTGAGATAATTCAAAGAAGAAAGTCACCTTTATACAGTATTTAAAAAGATAGGAAAAAAAATTGTTGAAGATTTGACTTGAAGGATTTATTTCCATGCCGTAAAACTAACATACAAAAAATATAATTTTCTGCCTTTCTTTTATTAAGGACAAATTGTAAACTTTTATTAATTATCAATTTTATGTACCTAGTAAAATACTGGTAAAATGTTTCGTCCTTCGGGACTGGATAAGGCGTTTAATTGGCTTTAAATAGTTTAATTTTATGACACTTCTTAGCGGAAAATCATTATATATTTACCTCTGTAATCATTATATATTTTCTGCCATTTTGAAACCTATCAATTTTGAGATGTAGATAAACAATTTTTAATTAAAGATAATAAACTGACGTTCAGCGTGTTGCCAGTTTTTGATCAATCAATTGTTTCAGTGAGTTCATTGAAAATCAAACCAAATACAACAATAAACAATATACATGATATTATTTTTACGTGACATTTAGGGTCCTATTCCAGAACTCTAATCAATACTCAAGTCAGATCTTGAGTATTGCAGTGAGCACTGA